TGGGGTTTCCCCATGTTAGTCAGGGTGGTCTCAAACTGCTGACCTCAGGTGATCCACCCACCTCAGCCTTCCAGAGTATTGGGATTATAGGCGAGAGCCACTGCACCTGGGCTTTATTTGTGTACATATGTATGTATGCATTTATTTATTTATTTTGAGGTGCAGTCTTGCTCCACCTCCCGGGTTCATGCCATTCTCCTGCCTCAGCCTCCTGAGTAGCTAGGGCTACAGGCGCCCACCACCACACCCGGCTAATTGTTTGTATTTTTATAGTAGAGATGGGGTTTCATCATTAAGGTTAGCCAGGATGGTCTTGATCTCCTGACCTTATGATCCGCCTGCCTCGGCCTCCCAAAGTGCTAGGATTACAGGTGTGAGCCACCACGCCTGGCCCTAACATGGAATCTTGCGCCACTGCCCAGGCTGGAGTGCAGTGGCACACTCTCGGCTCACTGCAACCTCCTCCTCCCAGGTTCAAGCAATTCTCCTGCCTCAGCCTCCCAAGTAGCTGGGATTACAGAAGTGTGCCACCACACCCAGCTAATTTTTTATATTTGGTAGACATGGGGTTTTACCATGTTGGCCAGGCTGGTCTCAAACTCCTGACTTGAAGTGATCTGCCTGCCTGGGCCTCCCAAAGTGCTAGGATTATGCCACTGCGCCCGGCCTTTTGTTTTCTTTTTTTTAAGGTATAGAGTCTTGCTCTGTTGCTTGGCCTGCAGTGCAGTGATGCAATCATAGCTCACTGCAGCCTCAAACTCCCAGGCTCAAGCAATCCTTCACCTTAGCCTCCTGAGTAGCTACAACTACAGGCATGCACCACCATGCCCAGCTAATTTTTTTTGTAAGATGGGGTCTTTCTATGTTGCTCAGGCTGATCTCAAACTCCTGGGCTCAAGCAGTCCTCCTCCCTTAGCCTCCCGAACAGTGGGATTATACCCACTGAGCCTGGCCAAGTTTCCTTCTTTGTAAAAAGGGGTAATAGTAGTGCTTCCAGTAGTTGGCAGGAAGATTAGAATAGTGGCTAGCATGTGATGAGTGCTTAGTAAGTTTTGAGTGCTATGACAATGATGACAAGAATGATGTTGCTCCTCCTGGCCAGGTAAGCCGACACCCAATGACCTCAACTGCCCTGTTGGTCAGGAAGGCCACCCCATTGTGGGAAGTCATTCCATTCCGGACAGTGCTAAGGGCAATGAAAGAAAGAAATGTGACAGAAGAATAAACACTAGGGGTGAAGGGCTTCTGTAGAACTAGGGGTGAGCCTGGGAGTGTTAGGCTGGCCTGTCTCTGGTGACACGTGAGCAGAGGTTTGAGGCTGCAGCCTGCCTTGAAGATCTGGGAGAAAACAGCTCTCAGCTAAAGACAGAATGTCAGCAAAGGCCCTGAGGTGTGCACAGCCTGGAATGCTCAAAGAAGACATGCAGGCAGGCAGGGTGTAGGGGCTCACACCTGTAATCCCAGCACTTTGGGAGGCTGAGGCAAGAGGACTGTTTGAGCTCAGGAGTTCGAGACCAGCCTGGGCAACATAGAACAAGACAAAACAATACAAAAATACGCTAATTTTTAGCTAGGCGTGGTCGCTCACGCCTGTAATCCTAGCACTTTGGGAGGCCAAGGCAGGAGGAATACTTGAGGTCAAGAGTTCAAGACCAGCCTGGCCAACATGGTGAAACCCTGTCTCTACTAAAAACACAAAAATTAGCCGAGCATGGTGGCGGGTGCCTGTAATCCCAGCTACTCAGGAGGCTGAGGCAGGAGAATTGCTTGAACCTGGGAGGTGGAAATTGCAATGAGCTGAGATCGTGCCACTGCACTCTAGCTTGAGCGACAGAATGAGACTCTGTCTGAAAAAAACAGCCAGGTACAGTGGCTCACGCTTATAATCCCAGCACTTTGGGAGGCTGAGGCAGGCCGGAGCTTGAGACCAGCCTGGCCAACATGGCGAAACTCCATCTCTACTAAAAATACAAAAATTGGGGCCGGGCGCGGTGGCTCAAGCCTGTAATCCCAGCACTTTGGGAGGCCGAGACGGGCGGATCACGAGGTCAGGAGATCGAGACCATCCTGGCTAACACGGTGAAACCCCATCTCTACTAAAAAAATACAAAAAACTAGCTGGGCGAAGTGGCGAGCGCCTGTGGTCCCAGCTACTCGGGAGGCTGAGGCAGGAGAATGGCGTAAACCTGGGAGGCGGAGCTTGCAGTGAGCTAAGATCCGGCCACTGCACTCCAGCCTGGGCGACAGAGCCAGACTCAGTCTCAAAAAAAAAAAAAAAAAAATACAAAAATTAGCCGGGCATGGTGGTATGAGCCTGTAATCCCAGCTACTCAGGAGGCTAAGGCAGGAGAATTGCTTGAACCCGGGAGGCAGTTTGCAGTGAGCCAACATCGTGCCACTGCACTCCAGCTTGGGCGACAGAGTAAGACCCTGTCTCAAAAAAAAAAAAAAGACTGGAGGTGATATAATGAGAACAGAGCTTGACACATTCAACAAGGATGGACTTTAATTAATTTTTTTAGAGGTAGACTCTTCCGTAGGTTGCCTGAGCTGGATTTGAACTCCTGAGCTCAAGCAATCCTCCTGCCTTGGCCTCCCAAATAGCTGCACTACAGGTGCACACCACCATGCCCAGTTCTAGACCTAATTTGATAAAATGGGATGCCCATCCTGTAAAGGCTCTACCCTGGCACCTGGTGTCTCTCATATCTCAGGGAGGCCCTAGGGGCTGACCCACCTCGAAGGAAGAAGGTATCATGCTGGTCACGGGCTGGGTGCTGCTGGGGCTGGAAGAGGGCGTCAAAGTTCCAGAAGGAGCTCTCAATGAAGTTATCGGTCGGCATCTCGGTGAACCTGGTGGGAGACGCAGCCTGACTGCCCTGCCTGTACCCAGCAGCAGCACCAGGCCCTGCCCCCAGCCCTGTGCTCACCCCATCTCCAGGAAGATCTGTCGGAACTGGGAGCGGACCTTGAGCAGGGGGTGAAGGTGACCGCTGTCGGGGAGGACACCGTGGGCCAAGAAGTTGTAGGGCTTGAAGGGCCGGTCCCGCCAAGAGCCACTGGGGGAGGATGCAAGGGCCTGGTAAGGGCTGCCCGTCTCCGCCCCCTGCCCCAGCTCCCATCCGCCCTGACCCTGGGGTTGACCCCTACCTAGAGATCATCTCTGGGCTCAGTTCTGTCTCTTGCTTGGAGATGCTGGTACTAAAGGCACTGCCTTTGCTCACCCAGTAGGTCTTCAGGGTCCTGTGGCCAGGGGAACAAAGGAGATGCCACTGCTATCTCCTCCTAGAGGACTTCCTTGATCTCCCGCCTGATGAGGATCCCCACGCTACCTACCAAGTCACTCTGCTTTATTTCCATCCTGACATTCATCACTACCTGAAATCCCCCTATGTGGCCATGTCCTATCTCCCGTATGCACTTACTTATTCATTCAAAAAACGCTTATTGAGAACCTAATGTGTGCCAGAGTCTGTTCAAGGTGCTAAGTACACGACTGAGTGATGAAATTAGGGAAAGTCTAGCAGATTTATTCTGTGCCAGGCTCTGTTCTGCGAAAGTCTCCCCGCAAGCCCCTGAAAGAGGGCAGTTTTTTTTTTTTTTTCTTTTTTTTTTTGAGACGGAGTCTCGCTCTGTCGCCCAGGCTGGAATGCAGTGGCCGGATCTCAGCTCACTGCAAGCTCCGCCTCCCGGGTTTACGCCATTCTCCTGCCTCAGCCTCCCGAGTAGCTGGGACTACAGGCGCCCACCACCTCGCCCGGCTAGTTTTTTGTATTTTTTAGTAGAGATGGGGTTTCACCGTGTTAGCCAGGATGGTCTTGATCTCCTGACCTCGTGATCTGCCCGTCTCAGCCTCCCAAAGTGCTGGGATTACAGGCTTGAGCCACAGCGCCCAGCCCCTTTTTCTTTTTTGAGATGGAGTTTCACTCTTATGTACTTCAATTATGCATCCCAGCTCTAGTCTCTTCAATTAGGCATCCCAGCTCTAGTCTCTTCTCTCTGCCACTCTGTGTCTGCTCAAAGGGGACATTTGTTCTGTGAGAGGACAGCCCCTAGACCATCTAGGTTCCAGGAGCCTGTCCAGCGTGTGTTCATTAAACTTTAGACCACACTAAGGACAGTGAAAGAAATGAACAAGCACCAAAGATGAAGACTAGGGGTGATGGGCTTCATGGAACTCAAGAGGAGAGGAGGGGTGGCAGGGTGGCCTCTTTAAGCGGACGCAGGAGAAAGACTTGATGAGGAGCCGACTTTAAAGATCAGAGGGAAAACAGTTCTCAGCAGAAGGGTCCTCATGGACAAAGACCCTGAGGTACATACGCTTGACAACTATGGCATTAAGCGAGCTGGGAGGAAACTGGCCACACCTGTGCCTGGTGTGGGCAAGGTGTCTGTCTCCCTCCCACCATGCCTCCACCATGCCATGCAGGTGGTGGGGGCCTGAGCCTGCAGGGGGCACCCACTCACACTTCAGCCAACAGCTTCCTCTTCCTCAGCTCGCTCCTCTCCTTCTCCCCCAGCTTCTCAGCCTGTCCCCCCTGGACCAGTTGGAGCCGCCGCTGCACCTCGTCCTCCATGCTGTCCACCTGCCGAGATAAGGGGTGTGAGGGCCAGGGGCCCACGTGCCTGTCCACCTGCCCCCTGGCCAGCCCGCAGGAACGCACCACTCGGAACACCCGGGGCCCGTCAGCTGCACTCTTGTCCACCCGGATCCACTTGTTGGACATGGCCTTGCTGAAGCCCACTTTGCCACTGGGCAGTCGCTGGAAAAGAGAGGCTGCAGTGAGTGGGGCACCAGGGCCACCTTCACCCCATCACTCACTCCCCTTTCACCCCACAGCTCCTACCATAAGCTCGCTCTGGGCCAGGCCCTCCGGGGGGATGCTTCGAAACACACGGGCCTCATGGCTGCCCTCCCGGGCAATCTCCTCACCCTCGGCAGTAAGCTCCCAGCGCTTGGTGGACCGAAGTTCAGCCTCGATGACCTAGAGGGAAATGGCGGGGGGGAGGGGCGGGGTCCAGGCAGGGTTGAGGCTCAGAGTCAGGCACCCCCTTTCGGCAGCACTGGGTCCCAAGTTCAAAGCATAGACCTTGAAGCTGGCTTCACATCCCAGTTATGCAACTTTACAGCCAAGTGGTCTCAAGGGAAAGACCTTGTTGTGTCTCCATTTCCCTTATGTAACACAAGGGTAATAATAATGATAGTTTACACCTCCCTGGGTAAAGTATACCACTAAGGATGTTGTTACCTGGCGGAGGACAAATTCTTATTGTCAGTTTTGAACCTGTGACAGATTTTTTTTTTTTTGAGACGGAGTCTGGCTCTGTCGCCTGGGCTGGAGTGCAGTGGCCGGATCTCAGCTCACTGCAAGCTCCGCCTCCCGGGTTTACGCCATTCTCCTGCCTCAGCCTCCCGAGTCCGATCTAACTCTCTACTCCACAAAAAATACAAAAAAAAACTAGCCGGGCGAGTGGCGGGCCGCCTGTAGTCCCCAGCTACTC